ACACCCTGCTTTTTGTTCCAAGCAGTTGTGGTAGTCCACCTGGACCTTGACCTTTACTGGGGTCAAGGTCACCGCCGGTGGTCCTGGGACCAAGCTTTCCCAAGTGGCGGGCTTTTGCATGTTAAAAGAAGGAGACTGTCCGAGTGTCTTGTGAGGCTTGTGGTGCAGTAAGTTTGCTTGAGTGTTTGGTTGAGTTTTCTTGGACCCCTAGCCGTGCTTGTTGGCCATCTAGGTTTTGAACGTGGTCGCGAAGCGTGGTGAGCGTCTGTTGCTTGCACCAGTGAGAAAGAGCCGAATACGTTGTCATGAGGTGTCTTGCTTGCTCTGTCGTGCTTGTGAAAATCGGGTTTAGGGTTTAGGAGTTTGGGCTTACGGTTTAGGGTCTAGGGTTGTGGGCTTAGGAATTTGAGATTAGGGTTGAAGATTTGGGGTTTTAGGGTGTAGGGTGCAAGATCCAGGATTCAGGGAAACCTCAACTCAGTTCAGTAAATCATAACTGGCACATTCTACAACTTGGTCGGCACAGAACCCATACTTGAATCCTCCTTCCCAAACAGGAACCAGGAACTTGGAAAAGTGACCAAATCCTCAAAGCAAATCCTACTACATCCTGCCAATGTAGGGGCCTTACTAATTAAAATAGGGTTTTGGGGTATATTATACTATAATTCTTTAGTAAGTAGCCCCCAAAATAGTATAGGTACTTATTAATGCCCATATATATTACCCTCATCCCAGCAGAAGGCTGTCACGATTCGGGCCCGTGGTGTCTTGACATCAACCGCCTCACCTCAGGACCTCCACAAAGCCTCTGGTTCAACTCTGGGCTGCAAGGATTTATGACAACATTGATGAAGCCGCTGTCTGAACTCCCAAAGACTCTTCCAACTGCAGTCCAGCACACAATCCACACTCATTTCCCTAAACCCTGAACCCTAAACCCTAAACCCTAGTCCTACATACATCCTGAGGATGCACCCCAAGCCCAGAGGTTCCATATACACTACCATTCTGGACTTAAGTCCCAAACGACCATCCCTACTATGGTTTTGGGGACCTAACTCCATAATAGTAGTATGTATGGACCCTCTTGGCCAGGATTCTTTTCCAGTGGTTACACAACCCCGAGGAAGCTCAAAGGGGTACGAGCAACCCTTAGTAGAGCATTCTGATACTTAGAGACTGCCCAACGTCTGAAAACAAGGAGTACTTGAGGGCACTCTGAGAGCACTATCAGAGTACCATAAGGCCATAAGGGTACGATCAGAGTACTATTAGAGTACTATAAGGGTGCCATGTATTCTTAGAACCTCCGGAAATGAACCTGATTCGTACCCTAAGCCCTAAACGGCTGTGGCCCGAGCAGTGCAGGCACCGACACACTGGAGTTGACCAGAGGCGCCTCCCACGTGCGAAGTGCACAGCTGCTCCCTTCCCCGTGGGTTAACAACGGGATGAGTATAGGGTTTAGGGTTTAGGCGTTAGGTTATGCTATGAAAGTCTTTATGGGCCCATTTACGAATGCAGTATGTGTCAGTAAGAGTATAACAAAGTAAGTATACATATATATATATATGTATATATATATATATATTATACACACACACATACGCAATCTGCGTAGATGAAGGGCTTCGGGGTCATTGGTCCTTAGTCCTTACCACCTACCCTGAGCTCCACACCAAAACCTAAACTGAACCCTGCAAGCTGAACATCATACGAATCTCAAGATGCGTATAAGCCTACAACCAAATAAGGCCCGATGAGACCCCAAACAAGAGCAATCTTTGTAGAATCACCGCCAACGTACACCAAATAGGCGATCGTCATGCTTACTTGGTCTTTCGATCGCTCAAAGGCTAAGCCCAAACCTACGCCTCCGCACTAACTAAACTCTACGAACCATGTCAGCCCTACACCTCACAGGCCCTAACGCCACAACCAACGCAACGCTCCCCCCCCCCCCACACCCCCCTCAGGCTCCGGTGAGTCCCAAGAGCGGACCGTGTACCCCAACATCCTGCGACCCCAATGGCCAGCACGACGAGGCGGCATCGCGCAAAAAGATGCAAAAACTGTGGGTAAGTCCGCTGTTCATTTTCGCGGTAAACCCGAAGGTCGACCTTTAAAGCCCCTGCGAGCCTGAAGCCCTAAATCCTAAACCCTATACACCCGTATGTAAACCCCGCACCCTACACTCTAAACCCTAAACCCTAAACCCAAGCCCTGTCAAGCTTCCAGCCTCCTTCGGGAACTTGGAACAGCTGGAAACTGGTGGTCTCGACGCTGGTTTCTCCAGCCTCATGGGTAGTTCTCTAAACCAAATATTAGGGCTGAGGGTTTAGGGTGGTTCTCTAATTTGTGGGTTCCTTTTAAAGGGTTCCTCAAAAAGATCTATAAGGGTTGTTTTGCAAGGATTTCTGTAAGGGCTATGGAAGGGTAGTTCTCTAAATTAGGGTCCCTTTAGGGTTCTTTTCTTAAACCCTAAACCCGAAATCTTAAACCCTCAACCTTACTAATTTTGGGGGAGCCCAAAAAGGGATAGAGGACTGCCCATATAGGGGCCTTCACAGACTGGGGCCTTTCTACATGGTTCTTCTAGGGCTCAGGTTTAGGGTTCAGGGCTTTTTCGGGGTTTAGGGTTTAGGGTTTATAGGGCTTAAGGTTTAGGGTTTAGGGCTTCAGAATAAGGAAAATCAGCATTAGAAGAGGGCTCAGCGAAAGGGTTTCTACAAGGTTTGCTGCAAGAAGGGTTTAGTATAAGGGTTTCGTAATCCATGATCATGAGCCTTCATTATTGCAACACGGTCTTGGGGTCTCCTGCCTACTGTATCAGAATGGTATTAGGGACTGATTACAACAAGAGAATAGCGTCCCAAAGGGTCTTAAGTCACTATCGAGTACAATGTAGGGTGTTTATACTGGGAATTACCGTCATGAACTGGGCAAGATACCAAAGCAACTTCAAAATTAACAGAATGTAGTTCAGAATGTAGGGTTTCTATATTAGGAGTTGCTGTTATGGTTTGGGGAAGTATCCACCAAAACAATAACAGCACCTAGGACCCAATATGTTACCGAGATCAATCTCCCTTGAGCAGCCCGAAAGAACGGGAACTTCCTGGGGCCGTCATCCCAAAACGCACTAAGAGTAAGAGTTCAAGCCTAAGCCCAATCCCCCGACCCCTAAAGAAACCTTGGGTTTAGGGTTTAGGGTTCAGTCTAAACCCTAAACTGAACACCCGTAGCCCCTAAACCTGAAACTCCTAAGCTCTAACCCCCCACATGCTAAGCTCTAAGATCACATGAAGCGCAAGTGCTGAAAGAGTCTGTACTTTGGCACCACAGCACTTCCGAAGAAGGGCCTTGTGATCCCAAGTTTCTGATGCTGTTTGGGTTTAAGGCTTACTTGGATCCTTTCGGCCTCAGGGAAAGACCACATGCAGATTATTCCCGCCCCGAACCTACACAAATATAGGAGGCCCAATCCTCTGGTCCTTACAAAGCAAAACCCTAAACAGACAGGGCCCTAAACCCTAAACCCTAAACCCTGACATCCTAAACCCTTCAGAAGTCAGAAAAATAGACCCCTAAGCGCTGAAATGCACTAAACTCGACGAGTCTGAACGCTTTGCATGCCTTCAATCGCAAAACGAAACAAATTCTTCGGAACCCCGAGAAAGTTTAGGGTTAAGGATTTAGGGTTTAGGGTTAATAAGGAACCCCTAAGAAGATAAAACCATCACCGAAGCATTCAGACCCCTTATAAGAGGAAGCCTGCAAGACCGGATTCCCCACAACCTAAACCCTAAACCCTAAACCCTAAACCCTAAACCCTAAACCCTAAAACCCTAAACCCTAAACCGACGGCTGTTACAACCCTAAACCCTCTGGGCTTTTGTGAGAGAGATCCCTTAAGGGAATCCTTAGGGGAACCTCCAAGGGAAGCCTTAAACCCTAAACCTTATAAACGCTAAACCTTAAACCCTATACCAAACCCGAAACCTTAAACCCAAAACCCTAAGCCCTAAGCCCTAAACCCTAAACCCTAAACCCTAAGCCCTAAGCCCTAAGCCCTAAACCAAAAACCTTAAAGGGACCCCAAAAACGGATCCCTACTAGAGCTTCGGGAGTCTGTGCCTTGTGCGTGCACGCCACGACAAGGATCTCGTCCCCTGACGACTTGTCTAGGGTACTGGGGTTTAGGGCTTTAGGGCTTTAGGGCTTTAGGGTTTAGGGTTTAGGGCTTTAGGGCTTTAGGGCTTTAGCGTTTAGGGCTTTAGGGCTTTAGGGTTTAGGGTTTAGGGCTCTAGGTTCCCTGACTTGGGAAACAGATCGTTTGAGGCTTCAGGGTTTGGGTTTTGGGGTGCGGGGTTCTGGGGTTTCGGGTTCTGGAGGGTAGGATTTAGGGCTTAGGGCCGTTTAGGGTTCTTGGGGTTGAAGGGTACGGGTTTTTGAAGTTGAAGGCCGTGTCGGGTACTGGGGCGTAGGGTTTAGGGCTTTAGGGTTTCGGGTTTAGGGCTCTAGGGCTCTAGGGCTCTAGGGCTCTAGGGCTCTAGGGCTCTAGGGCTCTAGGGCTCTAGGGCTCTAGGGCTCTAGGGCTCTAGGGTTCTAGGGTTTAGGAGTTTAGGGTTTAGGATTCCCGGATTTTGGGCTTTCGGGCTCCCTAAACCCTAAACTTCATTATAGGGGCCTACATATTTCATAGGAAGCCCAGAGTGCCGGGTTTCGGGTTTTGGGGGTTAGGGTTCAGGGCTGGTTTAACTACACTACAGTATACCCCCGAACCCCTACTGCAATTACTAACTACTATCCACTAGACGTTCAGGTTTTAGGGTTTAGGGTTTACGATTGCCTGGGCAACTAAACCCTAAACCCGAAACCCTCAAGCCCTAAACCCGAAACCCGAAACCCTCAAGCCCTAAACCCTAAACCCTAGGCAGCCCGAGAGCATGAAGGCTGGCATTCCCACATTTCGCTTCGCGTTGCACACGTCGAGTCTATGACATGTCCTTGTCTATGAGCTCGAGCGCTTGCTTGGCAGCCTCGCGCACGCGCTCCTGGCTGTTCTTAGAGGCCCTTAAGATCCAAGGTTTTGTTCTTTCGGAAGAACATCATAATTCTACGAAAACAAGAAAAGAAGAAAAAATAATAAGGAAGGAAAAAGCAAAGAAGATAACTTTATCATTATACGAAAACAAGAAAAGGTGTTCAAGAGCGGTCCAGAAGCATCGTCATCATAGCTCATCTCGCGTAGCTTTCTTGCCATGGTGGCAGCTGGCTCACCCATCCGGCCGCAAGCCGTGACAGCTAGCCACTTGCTAATCCTTAGGTTTGGTAGGGTTTAGGGTTTAGGGTTGAGGGTTTAGGGTTTAGCCACTTTATAAACCTTAGGTTTGGGGCTTTGGGTAGGGTAATTTGCTCAAGCCAAATCAACAAGCCCTTAAACTTCGAATTCTGTTCAGAGGTAAACTATCCCCCACCACATGCATAAAGCAAAAGCTTGCGAACTCAGCTGGTAAGAGACCAGCCGTGGTATCCAAGTCTTTCTCTGACCACTTTGATCACCGCATTGGGCTCTTCTTTGCCAATCTTCCCCAAGGCCACACTGGCTGCCTTCAAGTAGCGGTCTTCTGGGGACGTTATATCCTCGGCTTCCCAGTACCCATTTACACCTTCTTTAGGGTTTAGGGTGTAGGGATTAGGCCGTATATTTTCACTCAGAACACAAAGCACTAAAGAGCACTATCGCGGGACCCAGTTTCCTGACCCAACACATTGAACATCGGTCCCACAGATGCCGCGGCCAGCCCACCCATCTTACCCAGAGCCTCTGCTGCGGCAATGCGGACATTCTTTCCTAGGTGTCAATTTAACAGTCCCCAACCTTGCTTATAATTAGGGATCTATAATTAATAAACCATAAGGGCAGTCAAGCAGTAATTCTTCAAAAAGGATACCCTAAACCCTAAGGCCCAAAACCTAGTTTCCTTCTGTGTCGTCCAACCGGTCAATGAGCTGCGGGATAGCCGCCGCACCCTTCTTACCTGGGCAGTTCAGTAACCCTCTCGGAACACACACGCCGCGAGGGAGAGAGAGAGAGAGAGATGTATGTACACATACACATATATACGTGTGTATATATATATATGTATTTGTATATGTATATATATATATATATGTGTGTGTATATAGTGGCTGTGTGAGTTTTATGATAACTGGCCCCGAAGCAGAATTTGTATATAATATTTTAATATATATATATACACATACATATATATATATATGTATGTATACATACATATATATATATATACATATGTAGACATACATATATATATATACATATATATATATACATATATATATATATATAGATTCATATATGTTTATGTATGTATGTATGTGTATATATATATATATATGTATGCCATTGGAAAACCTAGTTACCCATCTTGCCGATTTCCTGGGCTGCGTCCAAGCGTGCCAACTTCTTAGGGGAATCAAGCAGATCCATCAACTCCTCCAAGTCTGGTCCTGGCACATTGTATCCCGATAGTAGCAGCCCTCATAACTGCCTTCCGAAACCCAAGACTAGCCCGGAACACAATCCTCCAAACACCCGTATATTCGTGGCCCGAAGCGTAGTCGACCTTGTAATAATACTGATGTAATAAAACTTCTGAATATACGTATACTGATACCCTATCGCACCCGTGAAGAGGTCCCTGTTGCCGTAACCTTAAAGAACGCCCTAGGCGCCAAACCAAAACGCCTTATAGCTACGTACCCTTAAAAGCCTGATAGTTACTTTTACAGTGCGGTTCTTGCGCTTACCATTTTAAGTCCAGTCAAAAGTTCCTGTAAACGCTAAACTCTAAATCCTAAGCCCCAAGTTGAAAACCAATAAAAACACCCTTCTAGGTACCCTAAACCCTAAACCCATCTAGGTACCCTTGAGGTGGTCCTGGTAATCCTTCGTCCGTTCCTGTGTCACTTTGGAGGTCGGCAGGCTTCTCCGCGTTCTTGAAACCGTCCACCTGGTAGGTTTCCCAAGATCATCCCCTGACGGTGTAGGGTTCCTTTAAGTTTAGGGTTTAGGGTTTAGGGTTTAGGGTACGGTGTAGGGTTCCTTTACATTTAGGGTTTAGGGTTTAGGGTACGGTGTAGGGTTCCTTTATTTACATTTAGGGTTTAGGGTTTGGGGTCTAGGGTTTGAGGGTTCCTTTAGAGCTTATAGGGTTTGGGGCTTATGGGGTTGATGGCTTATAGGGCTTAGGGTGAGGCTGCCTTTAAGTGCTTGAGAGAGCCTTGAAGGGTCTATTTGGGGGCCTTGGGAACTCATTACCGGAAACAAGCCCCGCTTCTGACCTGTTAACAGTAGGGTGGTTCTCAAAAAATGAGGGTCCCTTTTGGTGTCCTTTTTATAAGGGTGCCGCACAAAATTGGGGACTTGTAAGGCCCCTAGTTTAGAGAACTACCCAGTAGTGCCCAGGTATTTCGAGCACTGCCGCCATAATGCTTCAGGGATCTGGAGGGTTTAGGGCCCTGGCTTTTCATACTAATTCCAACAGAAACCTCAAAACCCTAAACTGTAAACCCTACACCCTGAACCCTAAACCCTAAACCCTGAACCCTAAACCCTGAACCCAAAACCAGACCTTGCTTTTCAGACATCACTCGACCTGGGATCCGGCGATGCGGTATGCATCGGTGGCCGCCCAGAAGGACCAGAGGGTCCTCAGCTTAGGGCACGGGTTCAGGGTTTAGGGTTTAGGGTTTAGGGCACGGGTTCAGGGTTTAGGGTTTAGGGTTTAGGGTTTAGGGTTTAGGGTTTAGGGTTTAGGGTTCAGGGTTTAGGGTTTAGGGTTCAGGGTTTAGGGTTCAGGGCTTATATATAAGGAACTCATAATAAGGAACCCCGAAAAGGGTGGTTCTGTAGGGTATAATAAGGGTTCGCCGGGTAGGAGTTTAGGTTTAGGGGGTTAACCCTATCTTATCTTCATATTTTGGGAGCTCAGCGATAATGACGACCACCACGACCACCACCACCACCACCACCACGACGACCACGACCACGGCGACGGCGACGGCGACGGCGACGGCGACGGCGACGGCGACGGCGACCACGATGACCAGTGACCACAAAGACCATGATGACCACGACCACCCGCAACCACCAACCACCGACCATTAACCACGAGCACTACTCACCACCACTACCACAAACACTACGACGACGACGACGACTACTGTTACACTACTACTACTACTACGACGACGACTACTACTCCTGCTGCTGCTACTACCACCAGTCCTCCGACAACTACCAGTACTACCTACTACTGCTACTACTGCTGCTGCTGCTGCTACTACTACTACTACTGCAGCGAAGACGAAGACTACGACGGTCAAGGCGATGCCGAAAGCCACAGCAACGACGTCGACGACGACCTCGGCTAGAAAAGCGACCCCAGCCACGACTAGAAACAACATGCAAGAAATGCAACGTCGACAAACGACAGGAATTAACGACAAACTTCAAAGCCTCTACACACCAGCAGCACTTGTCATTCCTCTCGCCTGAACCCGATGTCAGCCGACCCCGCGTACTTCCAAAGCAAACGCTAGGTGCTTCCTCGGGTCAAAGCTACAGGGAGCCGCAGCGCCATCATCTGGATTTGACAAAGAACACACTCTCGGCATGCAGAGATTACCTCTTGACTCTCGCTGCTGCGGTTGATTCATGAAAATCATCCATGGCAAGAATTGAGTTCCCAGCAAATTCAGGGGCTTGATTAGCAAGAATACGGTTCTGGTACATATACTATGACTGTACTTAGGAAGCCGAATGAATACTATTCTATTGACTGAGGCTCCTACATTAGCTGCTAGCTTCCTCGACACCCTTGCTAAAGCCTCTACTTGCAGGACCGTCAGGACTTGCGAAGGTGAGGCTATACTGTCACCAATCCTCTTACGTTCAGGATCGTCGTTTATCAATTGCAAGCATTTAAGAATTGTCATGCTCTCAAGCGGTTTGGAGTGCGGGTAGCATCTCGGTGTCTCTACCCATATAATGATGCACATAGGCAATAGAGTCCGAACGAGAGAGCTACAACCACAGAACCGTGAGTTCTTGCCGACTTGCCGGAGACCGCATATGACAGATTCTCCGTGATCGAGTAGGAAGAACCACTGAATCAGAACGACTAGCGCAAGCAGTAGCGGTAGCGGTAGCGGTAGCAGCAACCACGGTAGCAGTAGCAGTAGCAATAGTACGCATAGTAGTAGTACTAGTAGTAGTCGTCGTCGTCGTCGTAGTACTCGTCGT